TTGGAATTGTTATTTTTAGAGAAAAAAGGATAGGAAATAAGTGTGATTTCTCTCGTCTTATTTTCTTACCATTTGATACTGCCCTCCTAAAAGAATTTAGGCCCATGAGCTATGAAAGATATTAATAGTTCTAGTCAGAAGATTGAGGTACAATAATACCAATACTTGATACAATAGTTTCATTTAATTTCTGAGTTTCCTTATTCTTTTCAAACGTAACAGCAAAGAAGTATTGGATACAGTTAGCTTAGGAATTGCTGTAGTTTGCCAATATTTTAGTTATACATACTTTTTACAGGAATTAATAACAAGCCAATTTGTTTCTACATGTCAAAAGACATCTTTCACAAATCAGCTCTAAAGCCACTTGTTCTGACTTGGGTACAATCAAAACCAGGCTAGGCTTAGCATCTAACAGATGTTACCTCAGTCCATGAAGTCAAGGAAGAAATGAATCAGATTTCTGTTGGCACAAGTACTGTGAAAATCTTAGGTGCTTCACTATTTCATGCTTCCCATCATTGAATTTTTTAATGAAGTTCACAACCCTTTCTGAGTCAGGAGCTCTGATACACGTTATTTTTATTTGTGTCAGTTTTCTACTGCCACAAAATATGTTTGTTTGCTGTCCCCCAATTACCTGTCCTTCTAGCCATCTAGTTCTTTACCTATCTTTTTCTCTATCCTCATATGCTTAGACTGAAACAAGAGATGAAGAGATGCTGTGTACTTTAATGAAAAGTAGTTTAATATTTTTATTATACATGTTGTGTCTAATGAATTATACAAATTTTTGAATAATTACCACACAAAAACCAAGCCCTACTTACTGTTCCTCGAAAGTGCCTTTAGAAAGCCAGAGAGACCATACTTACTGCAATGTAGGATCTATGATCTTTACTTAGATATGAAAGTTCTCTCATTAAATATGTTAATGTGGTATATGATAGCAAATACTGAATTTTTAAATTAATTCCCTTGAGTTTTAAAGTCATCTATCAGACAAAACATGATGTGGCTACTTTGGACAATGATGACTATTCATACAGTATTATTCTATCCAGAGAGTAATTTAAAATAACTTTCTTCCATAGCAGGGTATCGTGTCTCTTTTAATATGCCCATTCTGAACTATATCCATAGATTCTCATAATTAATGAAGGCAAATGTGATCTTGAGGAAATGACTAGATGGTGGTTGGCAAAACAAGGTGAAAATGTTTTATTGAAGTCTTAAACGAGGTGGATGTGCTAAAGATTATGCAATTCTCTGTTCATATGCAGATACTATTTAGCATTTTCATTAATGAGTTGGCTAATACAATAAAGGATGCTTCTTTAATGTATAATACGATGCTTAGAGGAGACTGCAAACACTTTGAAGGACACCGTTAGAACTCAATATGATTCTTGCAATGCTTTAAAATCAACAAGGATAAATGCTACACTTAGAAATTATCAACTTCATAGATAGAAGATAAGAAATGAGCATTCAGTGCTGAAAAGGATTTCAAGTTTACAACCTGAAAATGAGTCATCAGTATCAATACATAGCAAAAAAAGGGAAAATAGGATTTATTAACATGTTCTACAGCATCTTTTCACTCTATTTCTTGACACCAAGTGTCAACTGCAGTACTTGGATCTGATTTTGGGCACTGTATTTCAAGAAAGATATGAACTGATTAGAAGCTATTAGAGGGCTAGAAAACATTACTGAAAGGAGGAGATTGAACAAAGTGAGTCAGTTTAGGGAGGAGATGTCTGAAATGAGTATTTGAATAGGCAAAACGTTGCTGGGAAGAAAAAGGGAATAAACATGACTCATTAGGCTAGGAATGGAAATTACAGACTTGAAGAGCAGGAGGGGAGATTTAGGTTAGACATTCAGGAATAACTGCATTTATAAATTGTATGAATACTGAAGAGCAGGTTAGTCTCCCTTGGGATTGTGCAACCAGCAACACTTCAGTTCTTTAAAAATAGATCAGGTAAGTGTCCATCAGGAGTGGTATGGCTGAAGCTTGCTGTGTCTTGGGCCAGACAAACATAGGGACAGAGCAGAGACCAGAATTCTTCAGTCAGGGACAGGCAATACTGTAAAGAAGATCCAATAATCTCCATTGGGAATGGGAGAAACATTTGAAATGGAAGATACTTCTGAGAACTGGGTGAACTGAAGAGTCTATCCCAGAAGAGGCAATTGATGCAATACTGTGTTGCTTGCTTTGTTATTTTGCTTTCATTTGAAAAGATTTTCTCAGATTTTTGGGGTAGAGTTGGGAGAAAAAGCAAGAAGAGAAAGCTGCTTTCTTAGGAGGTGAGAGTAATGTGTAGGCATCTGTCTAATTGGCTTGGTGGGCTGTGCATACATACCAACAGTACATTGGACTTTGATTACTATTTTCTTTTGCTTCTATCATTATTGCAGGGACTATTAATGTGAGCCCAAACTAATTAGCTAATAAGGAAAAGCTGGAAGTAGCAAATACTTTTAGAAAACAAGTCTGTTGTTATGCCAATGACACCAAAAATGGGAGACTAAATTTGGTCCACATTTAGCACATTAAGGCAGCATTGCTAATCAAGCAAAAACCTGAATATAGATATTGGTGAACCAAGAAAGTATCTTTTGCCAATAAAACTTCTTCCTACGCCTTTGAGCTGTTCTGGGGAAAGAACTCTTTTCCTAGTTTAAATTATAACTGCACTGGCAGTAGATGGGCAAGGTATACCAGGATGGTTAAATATAACTGGCTAATTTAAATATAGCTATATCAGCAAATGTTCAGCTACACACATCTCCTAAATTGTCTTCTGTAGAATAACACTTCTGAAATTCTTCAAACATAACACATCAACAGAGACACTTTGACATAAAATCTCAGAGGAAACTGAGAATCTATTTTGGGTTTATAAACTGATTTTTAGATTACACAGATATTTAAGTGCCATTTAGAAAGTCTTACCAGTAATAATTTCAAAGTTCCAAGAAATGTTATTAAGACAAAGCATAATCACTTGTTCATGTTTTCATGTGAATTATCAGCAGTCAACTCAATGTAAAAGTATATAATTTTCATCTCTGAAATGTCAGATGTTAACATGGCATACCAGAGGCACTCCTAATCTTTGGGATTCCTGGGCTATGAGGATTGAGTCAATTGCACAATTATGTACTAGAATGAGCGCCAGTAAAGCAGTGAGTTACCGTGTAATTTTTAACCATACAAATAATTGGGGGCCTTTACATTAAATTCTGTTTTACAAGAGAAAGCTCTACATTGTCCATGCAAAGAGAGAATAATAACATCAACACAGAACATAGATAGCCTTCTTCATTTTGAGATTATGAAGTGCTAGGGAGATCTTGGGAAGAATTGTGATCCCTGGTTTACAGGTAAGGAGACTGAGGCATAAAATAACTAAGATGTCCTTTAATATCTATAGAACTTAATTACCTGAATATGAGCCAAGAGTCTAAATGCCTTTGAGGATGTGTGTCTAAATGATTTGCCCAACATCAGTTTCAATTCAGTACACTATTTTTTTTCTATTGCACAGGTAAGCTAAAAATCAAATATAGCACATAATTCAGGAAGAAGGAAGGGACTCAAATTAATGATATGCTGAAGGAACCTTAAAATGGGTTAAAAGTATCAGATATCCTGATCTGGATGAGAGTGCTTCATTACTACAGATACGCTACACAGGTGAAAGTGGTTAAGCTGCTGATAGGACAGGGTATAAGGTCATTATGCATCTTCCTCAGTGAACATGTGTAACAGATGGATAAGCGTTATTATAGACTTCTTAAAATACGTAAACTGCTACTGTCATCACACACAAAGTCCATGGCAAAACCCAAGTCTCCAGCACCTTTATTTCTCCTTGGTCACAAAATCACAGGCCTTTATGTACAGTAAAATATACTGTGACATTTTCATTTATTCATGATTCTCTGTGTGAGAGGGAAAGTTTCTTCCTAACTCAGCTGAAGCACCAAAACTCATAGACTTGCTGGATTTAAGGATCTTATATACTTCAGTTGATCTCTTTCAACTTATTGTTATCCACTTAGGTAATAAATAGGACTGGACTTCTCAAAACCCCCACTCTAACTTTGCTTTATTTTTTGAACTGCCAGAGGAATAGGAAGATAACAAACTCCCTTTGCTTTGTCTCCATACAGTGACAGTCCTTGCTGTTTTCCATGAGCTGCATGTGGATACAGATTTGTACACGCTCCTGTTTGGAGAGAGTGTCCTAAATGATGCTGTGGCTATCGTGCTGACGTAGTAAGTACACCCACCTCCATTCTTTACTTGGTGAGATAATTACAAGCTCTAATTGCCGATATAATTCTCAGTGATATAGTTTGTACAAGTATAGGTATAATATTTGAAGGCTTCATTACAGAGATGTAGTTCTGGAGTTGTTCTTGGTTTGTTAAACACCAGAATTCCAATGTTGTTAATGGTAACTGTGCATGTAGAATGCGGTTTTAGTTCATTTTCTTCAACCTAGAAAGCAGTATATTCTGTAAAATATGTGAATTTAACTTAATTTTATTTCTTTTCTCATCTAAACAAGATAGCTTGAAAAAATAATGCTGAATGAGCACCTAGGACATAGCGCAACTATAAAATTGGAGACAGATTATTTTTGTTTTTTGCAATCTGTTATTCTCCAAGATTAAAACCACAAAGTGGTACACAGTAGCTCAGTTTATCTACTTCTGCCTATTGAATCTGATAGAGCTTCAGCTGATAATGTTATCTTAAATTTATATATAGCTTTTTATTCTGAGGAATCCTCAAACAGATCACAAATGATAGGCCAAAATCACGCAAGTATGTGCTGTCCTAAAAACACAGATGCTAAGTACATGATTAACAGGATCTCAAGTTAACTCCACTCTACATGTATTATATGCTTCCTGGAGCTTTGCTAGAAATACAAATAATCCTCTCAGATAATCTTAAAAGTAACAGAACTCCGCAAAATCAAATTCAGTTTTCTGGGATGCTTGAAGGTGCTTCACAATAAGCCTCAATTCAGTGCCACCTTTCTCCTTAAAATACAGTTCCTTGAACCATAAAAACAGTCTGTAAAAACAGAATTTTACAGAGTTTACAGTCGTTAAAAATAAGCTTCATATTTTGTCTGAAATCCCATGGAGAAACTTATAATAGTCGAATTGCAAAAAAACTCAAACAAAATTGTTTCACAATAAAAAAAATAGTATTCCTACTTCATTTATCATTCTCCAATTATCAGTCTAGTTACATTCACCTACACTAAACTCCTCGCATTGTTTTTAGAGCAAGAGTAATATTTTCAAACACTGTCAAGTGTCTGAGCACATCATTTCATGATTAGATACAGCATTGCTGTCACATTCAGTGACTGTGGTTGGAATGTGTCACTGAGGAGAGCATCTAGTACATCACATAATAAAATGCACAAAAGGAAAACTAAGCAAAGAATAGAAACCTCAGTAAAGAGAACAGATAGAAAAGCATTAAAGAAGCTATTAGAATTGGAAAGAAGCATGTAGGTGACAAAAAGTCCAAGATTTTTTTCTCTCTCTCACTTGGCTTTGTTTAATAAAGGCCTAGACATTTAGAGCTCATTTAGACACTTCATCTGTTAGTCAAAGGTTCCTATAGACCGTGGGACAGTTAGGCCACTCAAGAACACACAGAATATTTTAAGTGTCTCTAGTTTTCAGTCACTGTGATGTCAAAGCACATGAATCTCTTCAAAGGTGCAACTCAACTGCAAAGCAAATCTAGAAAGAAAAGTACTATCGGACTGTACATGATTCACAAGTTTCTAACCTCTACTTTTCCCAATACTGAAGTCTAGGGTATGACCCTCAGCCTGCACATGGATACAGAAATCTATAAGAAGGATGCAAGATACAAATGCTGGCTATCTCCTTCTCATTATTTCTTTGCTGTACATGGGAGATTACTCTTTTTTACTATAGAATCTCTTGTCACTGGAAAACTAGTGTATTTTTCTGTATATTCAGTGTGACTGATACTTTGATTTCTCTAACATATGTAGTCATTTGTAGAGACTGAAGAGAATATATGCATTATCAATTTCACATTTCATTAATTTCTGGCTTAAATAATCAGCTTCTGCACAAATACAATGTTTCTGCAACCTAACATGATCTTTCTTCCTTTTAAGTGAAGATATACTGTTAATAATGTCAGCTTCAGTACATTAACACCTCACTAAACCAAACCAAGTTTAAATGAAGAATATTATTTTCCGTCACTACAAAAGAACAGCTAGGATTTTTTTCTATAACACATGCCACTTTTCAGGATGGTGCAAACACAACATGTTCATAATTACAGTAATAGGGGGCTATTTAAAAAGGTGTGAGAATAATGTTTACAAATCTGGAAAAGCAATAATAAGTCATTTTGTTCACTATGCAATGGTAAACAGAAAATAGAATAAGAGAATACACAGTGTCTTTCATCAGCTAACAGAATAACAAAGTCAATGTCTGCAGGAGGGACTCACTGCAGGAAAGGGAGGAAGAGAAAAGAAGGCAGGCCTTTATGGCTGGCTGTGGCAATTTGGCAAGGTGAAAGCAGTACAGATGTCAGCCAACAAGGCTTTATATTGATACCTCTCTCTTCCGTCAGCTCCTCCCTCCAACCGCTATTTTTCCTCTGCATTTTATCTTTTAGTTTAAGAAGGACAGCAGCAGGACCAGCTACCCCTACATTTTTCATATGGATTTAGTAAACCACATGAGCTGTGTGCTGCTGCAATAGTATGCACAGACACCATGGCCAATTGCCCTCAGAAAATACTGATCAAGCACACATGTTCTCCAGGCCAAATGAGCAACTCTCCTATAGGCCATCTTGCCATACCAAACACCTGAGTGTCCGTGATAATTGCAAAATTTCATTTATACTGTGCTATTTTAAGATAATCCGTGCAGGAGGGATCACGGTGAATCAAATTGACGGTAGTGGCTGCAGAAAGGCTGACAAGCTGTTGTGCATCTGGGAGAGCTCATACATGCACGGGCCTCTATTGTCAAGGGTATTGTAGATGTAACAAGGCTTTTCTCCTATATAAGTAACTTCCAGAGTTGCTTATAACTTTTCATTATTAGGATGAAATTCTCCTTTTAAGAAAAAGTCAGTGAGAATTCTCACAGAAAATAAACATTTTGGAAGAAAATGGGGATTTAAATATTCATAGTGAGTCATTTTTGAGCTTGTTTTATATCAAGGAGTCAAGATGTTTAAGAAAAATAAGAGACCTACAAGACAGTACTTATTAGATGACTAAACATGACTGCTTTTACTCAAAAAAATCTATATGACTAATTATGCCACAAGTATTTCCTACATACTTTGTTTTCCAGGAAATTGACTTGGCACCCATGTCCATTTTCTATGTCTATCTACAGCACAAGCTTTATCTGTAGAAGTATTTTATATATGCTAACATTGAAACAAACAAATAAAACATGTAGGAAAATTAAGATATTTGAACTTCTTCTAAGTGTGTTTAAATATGCTTATACTTTATGCTTAGAGATTGATTCACTATTTGGAATTTAATTTTAGACAAGAGATTATGGCAACCTTTTATGAATATATGCTTCCAATTATATTTTTACTACAATTTTTAAGAAAGAAATGATTCTCAGTTCTTCAGATATGTTGTACTTCATCACCAGGAAGTTTACTTACAGGACACAACATTCAAGGTGATCTGTTTCATTCATAGATTTCAGACCCAGGAATGTTTGTCATTGTACTTGTCTGTAAGATACCAATTGAGAAACATCCCAGTAACTTCGTTTGGACTTGTATGTGATGAAGATTGTAGAATCTGGCTGGAAATCAGTAATTTATTGGTATTTTTGAGCAAATAAGATTAAGCTGTTATTTCACTTTCGTTCCTTTTTCATTGTGTTGACTGCACATACTGTAGGTTTGGACTTGACAAAGTTTTTGCAGAGCAATTTGATGAAGAAAGTGTGGAAGAAGTAGAAAAAGCATTGACTAGCTTGAGATGTGACTGAAAAGTAGCTGAACAGGTCATTAGCATGGAGACAGTATATTTAATCTTTCTCACACTGAGCACAGGATGTGGAAAGCAGTAATGAATACTGATATGTGTTCACTGCTAACAGATTATCTGAGAGAACATTACATGAGAGATGTTTCCATTGTAGCCAATGTCAAAAGTGTTTGTCTCATTGTTATGCGAAAGGCATGACTTCATTTTTCTGCTGGCTCTGTACCATTGCTCAGTGGGCCTGATGAGTTTCACCCCCTTTCTAGAAGAGGTGATAGCATGGAAGTCACATGGGCAGCAGGGACATCAACATATGGCAGTGCCTTTCACAGGTAATGAAAACAAGTGAGTCGCAGCCAGGGGACACAGGACATGTGACATTGTGACATATGTGGCAAGGAATGGATTTACTAGCTCTATTATATGTAGTCAAGAACAGTTTGATACACAAATGAAGTGGAGATAAAAAGCATGGTTGAGGATCACACGGCAGTGAAGCCAGAGAACACAGAAACTAGCTGACATAGGAAATTAAGACCTCCCATGTCAAAATGCTGATTGCCCTAGAAGGCTTAGAAGTACACATATTTCTGGACAGAGAGGAAAGTAATACTGCAAGCATTGTTTTCTTGTAAAGTTAGGCTTGCCATTTTTAAGTAAAGTACCTTAACTGGTGTGTAAAGGAAAAGATTATAACCTTGGAGGTTCAGAAGAAGGTGAAGAGGAAAGTAAACAAAAAACACTGGAATTTTTTGAAATGGATATCCTGCTTCTTTTGTAAAGTATCTTTTGGTTGTATAGATTCCACAAAGTTCATTCATGCCTATTAGCAAAAATTAGGCAATGGAAGGCCCAGATTTTGACAGAGTCAGGCTGTGAGATTCCCTTTGCAAAAGTCTAGGACAGGCAGTGAAAGGCCAAGTTCTTAGAACTACGTAAGAACTGGAGGTATAACAGATCCTGTTATTGTATGACCCCTTGCTCAGAAGAACAGTCCTTCTTGGTGAGATGCATGTTTCCACTGACGCTCACAGATGCAATGTTGTTTCAGGAATTCAGTGAGTCTCTACTGGCCAGATAAGATGGTCTGGAATAAATAGGTAACATTCCTGTTTTTCCTTTTTTTTTTTTCACCCTCAAAAAATCTGTGCTGATAGAAGGGTACTGCAACCCCCTTCTATGTAATAAGCTTCTATAGATTGGTTCAAAGATTTACCAAGCAGTT